TGTAGGAATCACATCCGTGTTTCCCATATTTGTTTCAGCAACTTTCTTTGGTATTCTAAAGTTCTTAGCTTTATAAATCTTAAACATTTATAAATTAATTTTTTTTTAAATGATAGGACATGACAGGCCATAGCAGAGGAATAACAACTGTCCTGTGCAGAAAGCCATCTCTGCGGGTAGAGAAGGTGGGCCTCAACACTGCTTCCAGGTCTCACCTAATCTGGCTACTTTATAATATTTACTAGAAAGTTCAGAATGCCAAGTAGGACTCTCAGACCTGTACTGAGAAAGGGCATTTTGTTACCCGCTCTTTCCTCAGGCTTCACTGAATGTTTCTACCAGATATAAAGTGATCTTAAAAGGTTTCAAATGGGGGACGGGGGGGGGGGGGGAGTCACAAGCAAAAGAAATCAAAATGATACCAGAGTTCTCAAAAATGGGGAATTAGAGGACAATATAGCAATGATTTGTACATTTTGAGGGAAACGATTTTAAATGGAGCACGTTACACGTAACACCTGTACCAATTCCTACCAAGAGATGTCATTAGAAAGTTCCTGGTTTCCAGGGATCGAGATGTCCGACTTTCTCAAATAAAGCCCTTTTTCATGTTGATAACTCTGATGGGAAAGTCAGTTAAGAGTTCATCCTTTAGTGTAAATTTGTACGGCTTCCCCAGTTAAATTCTAAGCATTTTCCAATATAATCCCAGTAGGTCACAGTCCTATGTACTGTCGTCTCCTTAGCATCCCCTCCCACACATGGGATGGCTCTAGGCCCTTGCTTGGTCTCCCTGCTGAATCTGGTGGGGAACCTGTCTTCTCTGAATCACTCATGACATGATTTGTAGTAACACAGCCAAGACTAAATAAAATTGTTCAAGTGAGTATACTAAAGATCCACACTGTTAGATATATAACAAAACTATAAATTATAAACAAAACTATAAATTCTCACAGGGGTGTAGGCATTACGTACAAAGTAAAACTCAAGAACTGGTAGGGAGCCGAATTATATGATTAATACCATTATCTTAACAGGTGCTTCTGCCTTACCGAAACTGTTACAATGGGCTGTTTTGAGTGCCTAAAGGGCAGACACGTTATGTCAAAATACACTGACTTCTATTTTGAGTTGTGTCCTTAACTTCATCTTTCCATATTACTATAGAAGGTAAGCATCCTAACAGGAGGTTCTATACTCCTCTTCCTCAAAGTGTATTTTAAAATGTTATTTGTAAGTATTTTGAACCCAATTAGGTGGATTACTGACTCAATTTATTAGCAACT